AATACACTATAGTGAACAGTTTTGTATATCTAAACATACATGGTGTATACATATGTGTGGATATATTAAGACTAACTATAAGACACTTTCTAAAAGGATATTTGCTGTTATAATTTCTAAATGTTAAAATTCTTAAAATTTTCCCAAGATGGGGAATTGCTATATTGTTGTTTAAATTTAAAATTTTTTAAAAATTTTTAAATGCTACCTCTGAGAATCCTCATAAGATATGCTGGTGTCCACAAACACATGCTACACAAAATTTAATCCGAACCACCTTTCTATTATCAAAGCCTTAGTACCAAAGTGTTTCACATTTATTTTCAAGATTTCTGGCTGTTCAAACAGCAAGTAGCAGACATTAACCTTGCTATGATTAATTTAATAGAACTCAATTGATTGCAGATGCAACCACTACTTTTGCAGCCACTCGGTGGCCCCATAACAGGCTGTAGTGGTGACATCACAGTATGGGTCAATGCTCCAGCATGACTCACACCTGTGTTCTGAAAGACTCCTTTGTGGCTTCATTCCTGGGTGGAGTGGGGTCTGAGTCACTCTCTGAGTCAAGCCATCAACACCCTGGATCTACTTATGAAATTACCACATGGGGACAAGAGCTCAGTTTCTTCCCCTAGTTAGCAAGCACATAAGGCACAGAGAACTTCAACCTACGAAGGTCTTTAGTTCTCTAAGCCTCACTACAGAGTGCAGCTAGTTCTTGGGGTTTATCCGTCCTCTCCCTCTTCCCTTGCCAGCCTTAATATCATCATGGTAGCCATTTGTTGCTCTCTGCTCCTCACTAGCACCTTAGACAGAAGATCACTGAGGAATAATTCAGCAGGCATGGTGGTAGGTGTAATATAGTGAGCGAACACTTCAGTTAAATTCCTGTGCTTAGTGAGGGATATCTAATTTATCTGTAAATAAACAATATAAAAGTGAGCATTATTTGAGACCCTCCCTCTTCAGTAGGAATGTGTTGGCATCACAGCCCATTTTGGTTAGGCTCTTTTCTTTTCTTTTCTTTTCTTTTCTTTCTTTCTTTCTTTCTTTTTTTTTTTCGAGACAGGGTTTCTCTGTGTAGCTTTGGAGCCCATCCTGGCACTCTGTTAGGCTCTTTTTATTTTATTTTTCCCAAGATGGGGTTTTACTATATTGTTATTAGCCAGAAATCCTGAGTTTAGTTGACCCTCCCCTCTGCCTTAATGTCTCTGGTGCCTGGAACACTGTTGTGTGGCAGCCAGCTCTAGGTCTGTTAATTTATTCCTTTGCTTATTCCTCTCAAAAGACACTACTGCTTCGACCAAACCTTGCATGTTTCCTTGTTCCCTGTGCGGTTCCAACCCCTACTTTAAATCAATGCCTCTTTTTTTTTTTGTCAGGTTTTTTCATCTCACCAGAGATTTTTCTGTGCCTGGCTCCAATCATGACAGAAGAGATTGCTTCTATTCAATTCAAGAAATTTCATCAGTGGGTCAGGAAAGACCAGATCTCTGGTTCAGCTATTATTAAGATCACCCTTCCTGTCAACACACACACACACACAAACTAAAATGAGCTATGATGCTCATTACTATTTCCACATTAAAGAAAAAACCCACCTGAGAAAGGCAAGGAAAGTCATCCTAGCATCTTCTTTCTTTAGCTCCATCCTGCTTGCTGGTGTCCTGAGCTGAGGGTCAGGATGTGAGCAGATCAGTGATGAAGAAGACATACTTGAGCAGAAGCAGTAAAGCAGAGAGTGGTATGCTTATTCCTGAGCTGGGGCGAATGCTGCCACGGGTGAGGCTGCCTGAGAAGTGAGGCTCTATTTCCTCCAGGTGGTGTTTATTCGTTCTCAAGCCACAGTGTTTTTGTTTTAACTATCTTTCCCCAGTTCCTCGCACCCTGGTCATTTAGAAACACCACATACCATTTGCAGGAGTCATTTCTCATTCCATCCCATTCATTGATTGCTTGGAAATGCACTGGCCAAGGAGAACCGACATCAAGATGTCCTAACCCTGAGCACACACTGGCTTAACTCTTGCTCTCACGTGAAGCTCCGTCTTGTAGAAAGTGATGGTAATAGAAGACATGTCAAGGTCTGGCTTCACTCTGTATAACAGACAGCAGTTGTGTGGCCTTGAGCAGGCCCCTTAATCTCTCTTTCCCTTTGTGCATTATTGTCTGAATATCTGTGGACCAAGCGGTTAGTTTAGGTAATTTGCTATTGTTTTTGTTCTACAGGAAAAGCAAGGGAAGTTCAAATGAGCGACTACATGAGCTCCATGTGGTAAAGGAGACATGGCAGTGGGAAAGCTGCTGCAAGCCAGATGATACAGTGCAGAACACATGGCCCTTGACGCCCTTTAGCTCCTCAGAGACATTACCAAATATACAAAAAGGGGCAGAGCAGAGGGGTATGAGATCATGTAAAATGTGTTCTGCACTATGCCCAGAGCACAGAAACACACCAACAAGTGAGTACTTCTAATAAGATAACCATGGTGTTAATTTGCTGTAGGAAATACTACATATGCTGACCAGTCATGATATACCTATATAGTTTCAACTATATAGTCAGCAATTATATACATTGCTATGGAATATTTCTTATATCTCCTAGAAATATGCTTCATTTTAGGTCATAGTTATGGCTCAGTCTTACTACAGTTAGTAAAATTGTGAAATTTTACTTAGGAGGCAGTACTTAGGAGGTCTGTGATGAAGTATTTGGATTTGGGACTATATAGGAGTGTTTTACTTGCAATCAAAATTAAAGACATAGTGCTTCTGTTGGGACATGGACACTTGCTGCTGTTCTGAGGTGGTGTTGGCACACAAAGCTTCAGTTCATCTTTTCTTAACCCAGGGCACACCTGCCTGTACAATGCACAGTCAAGTTCTAGCTGCAGAGAACTTCCCTCTATTCCTAGTCAGTACCTGCTTTACATTAACACTGAAGACTCCGTTTAAGCAGTGTCCAGATCCAAAGGTACAGGATGCTGATTTGATCCTCAACCATCAAAGGCAAGATTCTGTTCCCACAGGTCGCTACTCCTAGTGTGTCCCAGCACTGTGTAGCTACCCTTTCCTCCAGAATGCTTGCTGACTTGGTGTCACACTGGTGAGAATTTGCCCATGGAACTAAAACTTGCAGAGGGTTTGTATGTGTGGCTTCTGGAACTGGCTTACTGTTCCAAGTCTGCACCATGGGATGCTAGGGGCCTAACTGAGATCCAGGTACTAGGGTTTGTTTGGAGCCACAGTAACCCTACTCAGTCTCCATCAGGAAGATCTGTCTGTTTCACTGTGTCGGAGAGGTTTCCTTTGGTCAACTGAGACCTTCACGGAGTCGGTCATGCCTGCTGCTCTCTCTTCCCCAGTTGGACATTGTTTCTGTAATGGTTCCTTTCCCTTCACTTCTGCTCTCTACTCTCAAACTGTTGATTTATGAACCAACCCACACAGACTTCCGCAATCTTATAGTTTCCTGATTCCAACAACCATGGCTTTTCCAATGTCCCCAAAGCTCCTCACATGGGCTCTTTTCTGGACTAGTAATCTAGGCTCCTTGCCCTGCCTGCTGCAGGTCTGTGTGATCTGGCTCTAGGTACCTTGTGTGCTTCCCAGCTCTCTATTCTCATTTATCACACTCCAGGTAACCTACCCCTTTCCTGTGTCCACTGGGACCTGGTTTTTAGTCATTTTTGAGCCTTTGACTCAATGTTCTCTTGCTGCTTATCTCATTTCTTACTAAGATCTCAGCTTATGTCTGAGTTCATTTGGGCTGCCATGAAATAATGCCATATAAACTGGTAAACTTCAGGAACTTATTCTTCACAGTTCTGAAGCCTGGGAACTCACAATCAGGATATCTGACATCAGGTGAAGAACCAATTTGTCATGGGTGGTTTTTATCTCACTGAGCCAGAACACAGTCTGAGAGGCTAGACTGCTCTCTGCTACTTCTCATAACTGGCACCAATTCCATCCTGAGGGTTCCACCCTCATGATCTAATGACCCCCCAAATATCCACCCATTAATATTCTTACATTGGTGATTAATATTTCAGCATGGATTTTGGAAAGAGACAGCTGATTGCTGTTATGTACTATGTCGTCCAAAAGAACTTTAATGATAACAATGGTTTACATGTCTTTCTCTTTAAAATCTTTTCATGGCATTTACTATTTATTTTTCAATTATTGTGTGTCTCTTTATTACTTGCTCTGTACATCCTTTTTAATCTTCCAGCATCTTAATTTAGACTCCATGAGAGTAGGACCTCACCTGTCTCAGACGCTGCCACATTGCAGCAACTAGAGAATCTTGGCATACACCAGTTGTATCTGCTCATTACAGAAATTAATGTTAACTTCACCCTGGGTAGGATGAAGGAAGAATTCTGGAATCCATCTAATTCTTCACCTTTCTCCCCTCAGTTCATTTCCTCTTTCCAAAGCTACATTCCAATCAGCTATAGCTTTGGCTGGCAGAGTAAAAAATAACCACCAGAAAGCTACTTTTAAAGTTAAGCTTCACTTGTATGAAGAAAATAATGAGTTCTATATTCTTGCTAGAAGACTCGTTTCTTCAGCATGTTACCAAAACTCTAATAAAGCTAAAGTCATACCCTAGACCATTCTGAGACTTGCCTCCTCACACCCCTGTCTTAGGAGGATCTTCCCCAGGGCCAAGGTGCTCTGGTGAAGTGCTGTAGGTTGAACTTGGAGGGGGCACAGCTATGTAATCCTGCCCAACTAATCGAATCAGCTGTTGACTCTGAGGGTCAGGCAGGATGTAAAGCTGGAGGAGATCCAGTGCTGACAGGGAAGAACACAATCTGTGCTGTTCTGAACAAGTTACAGAGAAAAACTCTGAAGCACAACTTGAGCTGATTCCTTCTCCCAGAGCCCTTGGCCCTGGGCTGGAAGGCCAGCGCCCCGCCCCCCCTCACCCTGTGTTGCCATGAGGAAGAGAACAGCTCAAAGTAAACAAGAGCCCTGACTCACATAATTGTGGTTGGGCACATGCTTGCTATTCCAAGCAGACCCACTCTCATGTCTGTGTGCACGAGCAAGCACACACACATGCAGATGATAGTGATTGTGGAAGACCAGAGCTTGAAACAGAGGTAGGCTGAAAATGTCCAAGGAGCTGAAAACGAGATTAAGTTACTTCTAGTCATATCTGTATGCGCCCTTGAAACACTATTAGCCTTTCTAATCCCTAGCAATGACACAAGCTTTGCGTTTTCTACAGGTACTTTGCTTAATCTTTAGAACAATCTCTACGGCGGCTCACAAATAATATCAGAGACAGCAGGGAACACTGAAACTCATTGATCAAGATAATTCCCACAAGGTCATACTAATTCTGACTCTCCTGTAGCTGCAATTGGGTCTAAAAAGCAGATTCTTCTAAGTTTTAATTTTTTTTTTCCTGAGACAGGTTTTCTCTTCGGCTTTGGAGGCTGTCCTAGAACTAGCTCTTGTAGACCAGGCTGGTCTCTAACTCACAGAGATCTGCCTGCCTCTGCCTCCCGGGTGTTGGGATTAAAGGCGTGCGCCACCACAGCCTGGCTAAGTTTTAATTTTAAGGAACTTACATTCACCTAAAGAACTTCCAACAATCCTAGGAGTTTTAAGAAGTCAATATAATACATAGATCTGTCTAATTTTTAATAAAATCAATGGGTGGAATTTCATATTTGAGAAAGAAATAGAATAGGTGTTAATTATTTATAAAGGAAAACTGGATTTACAGAAATGTGATATGATTTAAATAAAACTCCTTTAGAATACTTTATAAATAGCTTTGTTTAAGCGTCTATAATAGCACATGTTAAGTGATCAAATTTATTGTATAAATATGAAAGTCCATAATATGTATTTTATTTCAGACAGCTAAGACTCTCACTAATCATTAATTCATCTTTATCAATCAACAGGAAAAAAAAGACAAACTGAAGAAGAGAAAGTGATATGATCAGGTGTCAGGATACCAAACCCCTGCTTGTGAAAGAATACTAGTGTCTGTCCTTTGTCCACCCTGCTTACGGAACACAGAGTGCCCAGTCAATGGTGGTAAGTCAGTGTTATGCCAACACATCCATGGGGATACTCTTGCCCATGAAATGCAAATGAAAGAGACAGATGCAGTTTCTCCAGCATTTTCATACAAGAAAATCACTTTCCCTGACTTCTTCATATTTTAATATAAAATATATTTCAAAAGTTAAGTTCACATTTAAGAAAATAAAAATTGCAACTGTTACATAATGTTTTGTGCTTTGTTACATGTATACATTGCATAGTACGTTATCAGAACATATATTTCTGTCTCCCCAAACTTCTAGCATTTCTTTCTGATGGACAATTTCAAAATCCTGCCTTCTCTTTGGAATGTATTCTATGCTATTATTGTCTACAGTCACTCGCAGATGAAATAACACACTGGAATTTTTCTAGATTAGTAGTCATTGATTAGATTTCCACCATTTCTGAACCTTTACTCTCCCAGCCTATGATGGCCACAATCCAACTGTCAACTTTTACAAGATGAACTTTTTTAGGTTTTGCAAGCACATGGTTTCACACAGCACTTGTCTATGTTTGACTCATTTCACACTGTAGAATGATTTCCATTTCCATATGTCTTTCTGAAAATGACAGGATTTCATTCCTTTTATGGCTGGTTAGTATTCTATTGTGTATATGCACTGCATTTTCTTCATCCATTCATCAGCTGATACACACGGGTTGTTTCCATTTCTTGGCCATTATGAATTGAGCAAACACAAGCATGGGAGTGCAGCTGTCTCTTTGACTTATTGATTTCATTTCCTTTGTCTATCTATACACTGCTGTGGAACTGCTAAATCATGTGCTACTTCTCATTGTACTGTTTTGAGGAATCTCCATACTATCTTCTATAATGGCTGAGCTAATTCACATGCTAGCCAATAGTATTCCAGGGTTCCCTTTTTTGCCACAAGCTGAACAGTACTTTTGTTGTCTTTGGTCTCTTGGACAATAGCCATTATTAATTTAAATAAGATGTCGTGTCATTTTAATTTTGAATTGTATCTCATCAATACTTTTTCATGTATCTGTTTACCATTTGTACGCTTTCTTCAGGAATTGTCTATTTAGACTATTACTCATTTTTAAATTAAGTAGTTTGAGTTTGTGCTGTTAATTTTTTAATATAAGATTTAAATTTTCCAGGAGCTGGAGAGATGGCTCAGCAGTGAAAATTACTTTTTGCTCTTTCAGAGGAACTGAGTTTGGCACTCAGCACCCACACGGTTCCTCACAATCACTCATACACATAAAAATAAATATTAAAATTTAAAAATTGAAAGAATAATCCTGCATTGTATTAAATATAAGTGCATTCGGGCAGTGGAAGTGCATGTCTTTAATCCCATCTCTCAGGAGGCAGATGTAGGCAAATCTCTGTGAGTTTGAGGCCTACCTGGTCTACAATGTAACAACCAGAACAGCCAGGGTTACACAGAGGGACCCTGTTTTGAAAATCAAAAACAGCAACAACACAACAAAAACATTACATATATCTAATGTTCAACAACATAATTTGGAAGAATACATACCTGATTACTGATAGTAGTTTCTTAAACAGCAAGATAAGGAAACATTGCTGTGGAGAAAAATAAAGAGCTCCAATGCAATCCATAACGTTTAGTTTTCATAAATAAATATACAAAATCTGAAATTGCACACACACACACACACACACACACACACACACACACACACACACACACACACACGGGCACTAGGTACAAACAGAAATATGCTAGACATCGTCATTCAGGGGAAAGTGATTGTATATCTCTTCTTTCAAACTCATCATTTAGTGATTTCAAGGTAGTAGTTTACAACCAGCCATAGTAGGAATCAGAGCAATTGGTGCAAATTCTCATTTTTCCTCTGGAGAGCTGGCTGTCAATATGGATGAGCATATCACCAGGCATAAAGCAGCTATTAAGTTCATCCTGGTTCTTTTAAAATAACTTTTAAGATTTTAAAAACATGAAAACTTAATTGATCATTCATATACATTTTTCAAGGATTGTATTTTTGTATGAATCATGCTTTTAGCATGTCTTGCAGGGAGTAAAAACAATTTGGACATCTCTCTCTCTCTCAAAAAATAAAATCTATCCAAAGGGCTGGAAAGATGCCCCAGCTGCTAACACTACTGTTTTTGTAGAGAACCCTAACTCAGTGGCTCACAGCCATCAGTAACTCCAGTTCCAGAGGGCCCAATGTCTCCTTCTGAACCCCTAGTTCTTTCTATTAGTACTATCCTCCCCTTACCTTTGTAGAATCATTTTCTATGTGTGAATTTGTTTTATATCAAGCAATTGTATCTGAGTTTATTTCCTCATCCTCACCCTGTTTTGTAGATTGTCTGTAATTCACTCATGTAGCTAGGTAATATGATTACCATCCCAGCAAGTCTTTGCAAATATCTTTTTCTTACTTTGGAATAAATTTCAATAAATTTAACTCCTGAGTCAAAATTTATGGAAACTCTTCAAGCATATTTTTCTGATTATCTTTATGGAAACTTGGTATTCATATGGAAAACTTGATGCTGCACATGAATACTTTTCAATGATATTAAATGTTTCCATACAAATAGCAAAACTTTGGAACTTTATAATAAAATTCATAAAAATATCTTTTTAAAAACTGGGGGGATTTTATTTATATGTACGTTTGACTGTGCAGTGCCTACAGAGGCCAGAAGAGGTCGTCAGATCACCTAGCCATGGAGCTACAGACAGTCATTAGTTTCCATGTGGGACTGGAATTGAATCCCAGTCCTCAGGAAGAACAGCCAGTGCTTTTAACCTCCGAGTCTTATCTCCAGCCCCCCAAAGTATCTTCATACCATCATTAGGAAAAAAATTTAGATACAGTCAAAAAAGGTAGCAATAGACAATCTGAATGTATTAAAATGTAAACATACTATATAATACAAATGCCACAAAAGAAAAACAACACTAGACATGGTGGTGTGTACCTGTAATCCCAACACTCAGTATCTGAGGCAGGAGGATCATGAGTGAGGCCAGCCTAGGCTACCCAGCAACATCTGTTCAGCAAACAAACAAGCCAGCAAACAAACAAATAAGCAAGCAAACAAAAAGATCAAAGCAGAAAGTATCTACTACTATATAACACAGGAGAGGTGAGCTGATAGGTGTAATTCATAAACCATTAATAAGACAATGGAACAGAAAAATAGGTACAGTTTATGAAAATAAACCGACAAAAATGAAACCTGGTAGTTATTAAACATACAGTAACCCAAATTTATCATCGGATTCACAAAAACTAAAGTCTGATGTCAAATTGAAGAATGTGATAGAACTGATACTTTTGGATGTTGATGATGAGAATGAAAACTGGTTCAAACACATTGAGAAGCACTTTGGCAAGTACCTGCTTAAGTTAATAATATCCCCTCTTGAAGTCAGGACCTGGGTGAGTCATGCAAGTGTCTAGAGGCATGGCACTTAAAGGAGACCTTCCCTCAAAGGATCATAGACTTATTGCTGGAAAGTAGGTACCTTTTTAAATATTGTGATTCAGAAGTTTCCTTTGTTTTTTAGTCCTGATGAACAGAGACTAAAGAGCAACAACTCCTGTGTGTGTGTGTGTGTGTGTGTGTGTGTGTGTGTGTGTGCTCAAAGTATTTTACCAAGGAGACAAAGCATCCTGGATGCTAACCTCCACCTTCACACCTACTACTTGGAGAAGCTGGATAACTTTAGGAGTGTGTGAGTAGTCGTATGGAATCTTAGAGTTGATAGTTATAGGCTGGGCACAAGTAAACTCATCAAAATTTACAACTGCTTAAAACTTCAGAATATCCACCTTACTTGAAAATGGTTTGTTTCTGTTAGTCCTTGAGATAAAGCAGCCTGAATTTAAGTTGGGCCTGAAGTTTGATGGCTGATGTCTTTGTAGGAGTAGATGACAGACAGGAAACAAACAGGGAATAAGGCCCAGTGAAGATGGAGGAAGAGGACAGGGTTTTGTAGTCACAATATAAGGAATGCTTGGAGTCACCAAATTAGAATGTGGAGAAATAGTCTCTTCTGCAGCGTGTAGGCAGAGGGTAGCCTTCACCACACCCCAATTTCAGATGCTTTTCTGGACTCAGAGCATAGACTTCCTATTGTCTAAGCCTTTGCTGTGGTCATTTGTTGCAGATATGCCAAGAAATTAATACCATGCCCAGTTGTTAAAACTTTCAGCAATGATGTTACAACTGGTATCCTAACAGGAGGAAGGGTAGTTAGCTGGTACCTGGTGCTTTTAAAGTTTGTAGAAATTGACTACTCTAATGACAGTGGAACTGAACGGTGATTGCCTCAAGGCAGATTGACGTTTTGGAGAAGAAAACCAGGGGGGGCAAGTTAGAGTAAAATGTGGAAGCCAGAGGGGTCTGCTCCCACCTCCCAGAAAAAAGGTAGGGAAAGCTAGTCAGTAGCCTTCAGGACTGGTTGTCAGAGGACAGGGCTCTAAAACAGTCAGGTAGGTCTGCTCTGCAAAACTCAGGACCCCACCATGAAAAACATGAGTTTGATCTCAGCACTCCCTAACAATCCCGAGTCACATAATTCCACAATAGCAGCTGTTAGAGGGGGGAGTTTACACTCTTGGGAAATTATGAAGGCTGGAGGGGACAAACTCTGTCCTGTTTATTTCAGTTCAGTGGCAGAAGGCAAAGGTGAGCTGTGGTGGGTGGAGTGGACAGTGCAATCAAGTTCCATTTTACAACCAATGTACCCAATCCCTCAGCTGCCAGAGTGCTAGCTCCAAGCTAACACAACAGTCTTTCTCTAGGAATTGCTTAGCTATTTGATGGGGGAGGTCCTTCTGTACACTGTGAATATATGTTTCTCTTATTGGATGATGAATAAAGATGTTTCAGCCAATGGACAGGCAGGATTTAGCCAGGCAGGAAATCCAAACAGGGATAGAGAAAGGTAGTCAAGGAGACACCATGTAGCTGTGGAGGAAGCAAGAGGCTTGGGCATCACCTCTAAGCCAAGACCATGTGGAGATACACAAATTAATGGAAATGGATTGATAATTAAGAGAGGGCTAGCCAACAAGAAGCCTGAGCCATAGGCTAAACAGTTTATAATTAATATAAGCCTTTGCGTGTTTATTTGGAACTAAATGGTGGTGGGACCCAGTGGGACAGAAACTTCCATCCACAGCTATTGGCTTGCCCCAGGTCAAGCCCCAAACCTAGGGACAGCCCATATTCTGTGGTTTATCCATGTTGGGTACAAGCTAGGTTTCCTTATCTCATTCCGGATAACCCTGAAAGGCCTTTCCAGCTCTATGCTCTTCCCCTTGGCAAAAACTCAGTTTAATCCCCCATTGTGTCTGTACCTCTTATCCTTACAGGCATGGCTCCTAACGAACTAACCACCAACTTGCCTCAGCACCTGTTCCCAGATACCTAGCTAAGAGTGAGCATTGCTATCAGCCCTTGGGGTCTGGCTGCTGTGTGTACTCTCAAGAGCAGCTAAACAAGAGCTTGTAGCTCTCTCCTGCACAATGCACATCTGAGTTTCATTAACTGCTCCTGATTTCTCTGTTCTCTGAGTCAGTTTTAGTAATGAATTTAAGAACATCTGACCACTAACAGCTCCAGGCATACTTATATTTGATACAGACCCCTAAAACTAACCTCGGGCTTTTTACACCAAAGTCCTCTTAAATGTTGGGAACAAAGGGCTCTTAAAAGATTTTAGGTTTACAAAGGCACAATTATTCTTGGAGACTGGTAGCTTTAGCATTTTCAGTCAGTTCACTTTTTATCTTTAGGTTTCAATCCCAGGACTGAGAGCAGGCAGGTCATGGAACGTTAGCTGGAAATAATGAGGCATTCTTGATTATCTCTGAAGCTGCTCTAAGGCAGACAGACACTGATTTAAAGTCCATGTAACATGCACGGTGCCTGCCAACCTCTTCTAATTAGATTATCTGGGAGTAAATGTATGAGTTAAATAATTCCTTCACAGTACACAAAGGAACTTGTCACAGTGGGTGACATGACCCAGAGGAGAAGCCATGCTTCATCTTTTATCTGAAAGGCTTTAGCATCCTGACTCCAGCAAGGGAGAGCAGACACTGACCCACAGGCTGCCACTCAGCTGCCACAGCTGAACTGGCTCATGTTATATGACTTGTCCTGTGTGGTTGGAGGTAGAGTCACAGCCAGGGTTCATTTAACTCATTTCTTGCTGGCAAACCAAACAGATAAGTCAAGATTTGGTGACAAATCTTGGCATGGGAGCTTAGCTTATGATACTTCCTTGTTTCAGCACCTAAGTCCAGCTGAAGTCCTAGATGTCAGCTTAAGGGCCTACACAAAACAACTTCATTCTATGATATCATCAAGAAAAAAAATGTCAACCTACAGAAATAAAGTACTTACAAATAGCTAATCTAATCACAGACAGGTGTCTATACAGAAGAAACAAACCATTAGATAGAAACTTCTACAAAGAAGTTATTCAGTGAATCCACAGAAGATGTTAACAGGGGCCTTTAGGGAACTGCAAATTAAGCCACACTGAGTTACCACCAGGATGCCTGGAT